ACCCCCGATAACATCATATCTCATGTTTCACTCCAATATTTTCTTAAAATATTATTAATAATGTGACGTCGTTAAAATATTAATTGTTGCTCGTATATTTTATAAAAACTCCACATTTTCTTGAATAATAAATATTTTATCAAAATAATTAAAATAATAGCTTGCAAGGTAAATAATGTATTGTGACGAAAATGTCTTGTGACGAAAACGTCTCGTTTAAGATTTGCAAGTAAATAAAGGTGACAATATGTCACACACATATAAATAACGGTCGTTCCATAACTTTAAAGTTTAACATAATTAATACTCGAAATAATGTGAGAATACCAATTTTCCATGTCTAGGGGCATTTCGGTAATTTATAGGACGAATACGTAAAGTATCGCTAAAATACCGATTTCTAAGTTATAGGGTCATTTTGGTAATTTCCATAGGGAATAGATTTAAAATAACACTTACATACCAATTCCCAAAACATTGGGTCATTTCGGTAATTTTATAAAGCAAATACGTACAATATTGCTAAAATACCGATTTCCAAATATAACGTCGTTTTGGAAATTTTATAAAAATAATAATATAAAAATAAAGCTCATAAACCAATCCCCAAGATAAATGGTTATTTTGGTAAATTTTGTAAACAAATACACAAAGTATTGCTAAAATACCGATTTACCATTTATAGGGTCATTTTGGTAACTAAACGAGATAAATAATCGAAACTTGGTCAAAGTTTGCATTTTACAAAATACAAATAAATTTAATCAAAGTCTCGTAAAGTCATTAGGGAGAAAATTATTTGATTTCTGAAACATAAATTTTTTGTGCATATTAATAATACAGTACATAATTATTAACAAAACTGATGCTTAGATTATTGGTTAACGCCTTTCAACCTCATGCTTGAGGTCATGGGTTCGAGTCTCATCCTCAACGCTTTTATCTATTTTTTCTTTAAAAAAAAGTAAACCCATGTGGAAAACATCAACGTGACAGCAGCTATGGCTGCACCATTTTTATATTTTTGAGCTTGAAAATGGCTCGTTTATTGACCATTTTTCTTCATTCTTTTTGCACCAAACTCTTGGTAATATTTTTACCAACACTTTGACATAAAGAACACGAATTTTCATCAAGAAATGAGTTCCATTTACTCATTTAAAGTTTGTTTTTAAAACTAAAACTTAACCACTTAAAAACATAAAAATCGAACAACGAAAACACAAATATAAGACATGAGGCTACTTGGGTTTGATAGAGTACTTAAAAACGAAAGTATAGACATAAAAATCAAGAGATTTGGTTAACAATCTCACCCAAAATCGGTGAAAAACCGAGATTTTCGACTCCGAACTTCAAACTCAGATTTCTCTCTAAAAACTCAACGATTTTTCGAGTTATTTGAACCAAAACGTTCCTAAGCCAGAGCTCTACAATTTATATGCCAAGAGTTTTGGCTTATTAGTTGAAGAAATCGGACACATCGCGAGTTTTAGGCTGATGGGTCGTTTTCTCAAACAGTTATGTACTTTTGGCAAAACAGGTCCCTCAACTTTGAAAAAGATGAGATTCGGCCTCCTCAAGTTTCTGACATTTACCATCAGACCCCTCCTGACGTAATATTTAACATTTTTGGTCCAATAATTAAAAGAAAACAATTTTATTTTCTTTTTATTTTTATCTTTCTTTTCATTATTTATTTATTTATTTATTTATTTATTTATTTATTTATTTGTTTAAGATATCTACAATTATATCCTTTAGTTTATTACGTAAATATTTTACATTTCAAATAATTTTATTAAAAAAAATATTTAAAGGCCCATGTAATATTATTTATATATTTAATAGAAAAATGGGTTTTACAAGAATCTCCTGCACAGTGGTTACAGGCTCTGTGCGCGCCTTCTGCATAGGGATTTTGCTCATTGAATCGAAGATCTCATAAACCCTTCCCACTATGGCGGACTCTGGTACTCTGATTTCTTCTTCTTCTAGAATTGGCCTCTAGGTGGACCCTTCTGCTAGGATAGGTTTGACGGTTCCTTGCAAAGCGTCGAACGTACCCGTGGACGTTTCCTCCTTTGCCTTCTTGGAGGATGAGCCTTCTGCAGCTCTGGAGGGGGATGTGGGCTCTGCCTTTTCTTGCTTGAGCCTCTGCCAAAGAAGCCTTTAACGCTTGAAC